CGCCAGTTCCTTACACGGTGCATCGGCTGGAGCAAGCGGAAACGCTCAGACCGCCCCCTGTCCTATGCCCAGGCCCTCATCCAGGCCGGCTGCGAGGAAGCCATCGAGGCCGCCGTGCGCCAACGAAGACAGTGTTTCGCGGGCTTTGTTATGCGCATGGAGGTCAACCGCCTCCCCAAGCGCATGCTGTTAGGAGCGATGGCGGGGGGCGTGGGATACCGGGGCGGGCAGGAGAGCGGCTGGGTGTCTCGTCTAGGAGAGGACCTCATGGCCTTCAANCGGCGACCGGACACTGCTGTTGAAGCGAGTAGGGCGGCCGAGGCAGCACTTGTTGAGAACCATGTACCCGGCTGATATTGTTGCGCCCTGTTTCCCTCCCTGCTGTATGCTGTACTCCTTTATGTATGTACTTTTTATTGCCTTCGGCCTCTGTGCTGCGTTTCTTTCTTTCATGTCATCCCTGCCTACTCTGCTGTGTTGGGTACCTTGATCTCCCTGTTGATGTTGCCTTTGTTTTTGTACATCTGGCTGTCTGCCCATCTGCCGCCTCTTTGTTCTGTTGGCTCCGTTGCTCCCATGCCCTGGTGCGTAGTGCCTGGTGCTGGTACGATTCCCTTTGATTTATTAGGCGGGTATGGGAAGCGTCCTCCTATATATTTGTATTTGTTTTATTTGGATCGGTATCCGAGAGCTCTTTTCTCGACCGGTCGGTGCGGTAGCTGTTCTTTTCTTTCTATCAGTTTGTTTTCTTTTTCCGAGTGGTTTGTACCCTACTTTTGTTTTTGTTTCCCCGCGGCGTCGTATGTGTCGGGTTTTGAGAACACGGGCTCCCCATTTTTGTGGACTCCAGAGCTAATGTGAGCAACAACAATAACAAGTACATCTCTAGCTAAGTACATGCAGTCTAGTACTGCAGAAGAAACCTACATTACACCATGGTTGATAAAGTGACGACGTGTAGACATGTAGACGTGTAGACATAGCGGTATATAGTCTGCATACCGTGCGCACGCCCCCCTTCTCAGCTACTCAGGTATCCGTCTCCTTACCCTACTCAGTTGCTCGTCGATTGTCTCCGTCATGGCAAAGATACGCGATTGACGATCTCCCCAGGTGACGGTTGCACTGGGAGCCGCCACAGCTGATTGCTGCATGCCATGGGAAAGGCCTCCCTCGTCGCACCGCTTCCCATCGCCCCCGGGTGTGCATGGCGTAGCTTCGCTCATCGACGCACCCAACCGGAGTTTGTGTGCTATTAGTACGTGTGTGCGATCCAGTCGTACCGCCGTGCCGTCAACGTCTGCGTGCGGCATGCGGCATGCGGAAAACCAGAAATCAAAGGATTAAAGTGACAGTCTCGGCCCGTGTTTGGTAGAAATGGTAGAACTCCCCGATATTGCACTCTGCCGACCCCCACTCTAGTCTCGCAATGCATCTCTGGAGAGTGTGCGCATAACGAACGACCGAGCAATGAACGACGCAGGGGTGTCGCCAGCGGTGGGTGTAGCGGGACATGGAGGGATGCCAGGAATGCCTGAGTTGCCCCCGGCTCCGAAATACCAGGCGAGTAGTGTGCGGTATTCCGTTGGAGAATCGGATTGTTTCCTCCAAGGATGGAACTGCATAGACCTAGGTATGCTTGCAAACATTGAACATCATACAAGTTAATGGCATACTCGTTGAACGTGGGAATATAGCGCAAACCGGGGTTGTATACTCTGTGTCTGTGTTGCTGCTAGGGAGGGGGGGGGGTCTGATGTGTTGTACGCCGTCAGCTGCTGTCGTGGAGGCGTGTGGAAGAAGAAACTAGACAACGACAAAGGACTATCTGTGCTGTCGTGGGTGCTCCAGCTCAAGTTGCCGGAGTAATGTAAGCTTCCGTGTGTAGTCGTACAAAAGGTCTACAGCAGTAGTCTCCTCCGACGGACGTCGCGACGTATATGGAGCAATGGCAGCCTGCTCTGTCGAGGAGCCTCCAATTGTCTCATATACACATCGAACGGGTCATTCTTTTCCGGAATGCTGCACCCCCTGCTGTCAAGCGGGCGAATCCGCGTTTTCTCCGTACATTTTCTTTTGTTTCTCCCATCATTGGACTCTGTCTCTGCCCCCCTGGCCCCTATCCTCCACTTCTAATATAAGAGCTAGACTACCCAACCGGGGTCACACAGGAGGGGGGGGTTGGACCCTCTCCTGCGGTTCCTGCCTGAGAATTTTATATCGCGAGAAGGTTACAGCAATCCCTTCCCTCACGACTTACGAAGTCGATTGTGGTTTACTAACAACGAGCTTTGCAGCGCGTCGCTTTCACCCTAGACCAGGATTTTTTAGTGAGAAAAAACTCACGCTGCCGGGACTCGAACCCATGACCTGGCCCTTAGCTGGCGGGTACCCACTAGACCACCGGGGCGACCGTATGTACCAGGTTGTCTACTATTTACTAGAGTTGGAGGTGGAATAGTTTTTTGTGGTGGTTGCACAAAAGTACCTGCAGTAGGCTCGTGCGTCTGTTACAGAAGAACGGGGGGCGGTCCATCATCAC